GTTTGAGGTTGCTTTGAGCTGTGATGCCAGGGCACTCTACCCAGGGCAACAGCTTGGGGCTCTGTCTCAAAAAAAACCAACATGAAATCTTAGATGATTCAAAATCCAATTATCTTAAAAGACAATGATAAGACATCTGAGTATATATTCAGAGGAATTCAGGACAGCATTGTAAGTGGATATATACAAACCTGGATTAATAAGAGAGCAGCATTATTTGGGCAGGCATGGTGGCTCAGTCTTGCAATCTGATCAGTATAGGAGGCCCAAGGAAAAGGAACCCTTGAGCTTATGAGCTCAAGACCAGCCTGAGCAAAAGGGAGAGCCCGTCATTTCTAAAAATTAAAAATTAGCCTGGCATCGTGGGAGGCTCCTATAGTCCCTGCTACTCCACAGGCAGAGGCAAGAGGATAGCTTGTATCTAGATGGTAGACATTACAGTAAGATAGTATGATATCAGTGTACATTATCTGGAATGATAAAGTGAGACACTATCTTAAAAAAGAAATCTCAACTCACAAACTGAAGTAAAATGCCAAAAAGACACTTTAATAGTTTGTACTAGGAATAAAAACAAATATTTAAATTAACAACGAAAACCATTTCCACTTTGTAGAGGTTTTTTCTTTTTTTGTTTTGTTTTGAGACAGAGTCTCACTATGTTGCCTTCAGTAGAGTGCTGTGGCTTCATAGCTAAATAGCAACCTCCTACTCTTGGACTTAAGCGATTCTCTTGCCTCAGACATGCAAGTAGGTGGGACTACAGACGCCCACCACAATGCCTAGATTTTTTTGTTGTTGTTGCAGTTGTCATTGTTGTTTTAGCTGAGCCAGACCATTTTGAACCCACCAGCCTCATCACCATCCTTGGTGTATGTGGGCACTGTCCTACCCACTGAACTATGGATGCCACCCACTTTACAGAGGTTTTAAGGAAATTCCTGCTGGCTACAACCTCTCTACTAAACACTGATATCTTCTAAAATATGTAAGTCAGCAGACACAGTGCTACGGCATCTCAACACATTCCAGACAGGACAATACACAAAGGGAATAAAGACAAAGAAAAACATACACAATACTAACATAGACAATGAAATATAAAAAACCAGGATCATGTACAATATGTGAAAATGGACAAGATGAGAGTAGCAGTGCTTGCAGGAAACGACACTAGGAACCACACTCACCATTCTAGTGAGCTATGCTCACCATGTGGACCTAGGGATCCAACACAGGGCGCTTCTATCCCCTCACTTTTCTTTTCACTGAGTAAAAATCTCAGAGGAGCCGACCTCGTCCTCTGTTATACATAGCAGAAAACTTGGGATAAAGCCTAAGTAAAGAGTGGCTTAGGGATCTTATGAAATAAGAAACACATACATTGATCTCCTCCCAGGTTCCTCACATACACTTCCAAGAGTTTGAAATTTCCTAGGTGAAAGGCATGTGACATGTTCTAATGAGTCCACTTCTATGGTGTCCCGCATAAGAGCTGGTCACCAGAAAGATCAAGCTATGACTACAAGCCTGAAATTTTCAGCCCCAAACAACATCCTCCAGGAAGGGGAGAGGGCTGGAGGCTGAGTTAACGTCAATGATGACACTTCCATAAAAAGGTCTACACTGTGGGGTTAGGAGAAATTCCAAGTGCAGAACACACAGACGTGTGTGGAAGGTGGGGCACCCAGTGAAGCTTCAAGGAGCCTTGTCCTGTGAGCCTCTTCATCTGGTTATTCATCTGTGTCCTCTCAAATGTCCCTCATAATAAAACAGACACACAAAGTGTATCACTGAGAGCAGTGAGTGAGCCTCGCAAATAATCACACCTGAGCAGGGCTTCTAGGAGCCTCCAACTTACACCTGGTTGGTCAGAACGAGACATGACAACCTACTCCTGTGAGTGAAGTATGATGTGGGGAGCAGACATGGGAACTCAGACCTTAGCCTGTGGGATCTGATCCTAACTCCAAGGAGACAGGGTCACAAATGAAGGATAGGAAATGCTTTGATGGCCACCAAAACTTTGAGTGTTTGTGGGGAGAAACCCAACACATTTTGCTGAACACAACACTTTGGTATGTTTTTATATTCAACTAAGCTAAAAAGGCAGAAAGGGCTGGAGACAGCTCTGTGCTGTACCCTGGCCTAGAAGCAAAGAAGGAATGATAATTATTTTCTCATGTACTGATCAAGTCTTCCAAGTATAGGAAATGGGACAGCACATAAAGAGGTCAATGCATCTGTTCTATGGGGGCATCTCCTCTGACCTGTATAGACAGAGAACTGAGCACCAGGTGGAATCAAATACAGGACACACCACAGGAGAAAGAGATCCTTGGACATGGCCTTCTCTGTGTCCTACACAGACAGGGACCAAAGAGTTTACAGATGTGTCATCGTGCAATCAAATAATTTGCCTTTATCTCAGTTTGAGCAGCAATACCACTACAGCGTCAAATAATCGACTACTCCACATTCAAAGAACAGAGGTGGTAAGTAGAGACAAAGATTTCTCCTTAGAGCTCACAGGATTTAACCTTTTGCTCATCCACAGAACCCTCAACTGGAAGCCTCTCCCACACACTGTTTAA